TCTAGGGTTGTAAGACAAGTGGCTGCAGAGGTAGTGGATGTACTTGTTGCAAACTTTCAAATTCCCTAGATTCTGGAAAGGTCTCAGTGAATTGAAAATCTACAAATGGACCATAACTTTTCAATAAGAAGGGAGACTGAAACAAAACAATGGGCCAGTTAGTCCAACATCTTGAGAAAATGTGAAATCTGTTACTAAGGAGGTAGTAACAGGACATTTAGAAAATTATGATACAATCAGGCAGGGTCAACTTGGTTTTGTGAAAGGGAAATTATGTTTGTCAAATTTATTATTGTTCTTTGAGGAGGCAGTTGTTATAGCATATTTATATTTTCAAAAGACGCTTAAAGTGAGGTGCCACGTAAAAGTTTACTACACCGCATAAGAACTCATGGTGTTGGAGGTGATATATGAACATGGAAGGACAATTGATTAACTAACAAGAAATGAGAGTCACAATAATGGGTCATTGTCAGGTTAGCAACTGAAATTATTGGAGTGCTGCGGGAATCAGTGCTAGGGCTGAAACTATTCAAAATATATATTAATGACTTGGATGAAGGAATAGATTGTTTTGTAACCAAATTTGCTTACGGTACAAAGATCATTAGGAAAGCAAGTTATAATGAGGATACAAAGAGTCTGCAAAGGGAAATAGATAATGTTAAGTGACTAGTCAAAAAAATTGGAAGACTAGGCACAATACAGGAAAATATGAGTGTATCCACTTTGGCAGGAAGAATAGAAAAGCTGATTATTATTTAAATGGAAAAGCAACTGCAATACACAGGAATCGGGTGTCCTTAGACATGAATCACAAAAGCTTAGCATGCAGAAACCAGATAATTAGGAAGGGAATTGGTATGTTGAACTATTATTGAAAGGGGCATGGACTCTTACAACAATCATACAACTGTGATACTACAAATGCCATACTGTGTTCAGTTTTGGTCCCCTTACATTTTACAAGGCTCGTTCAACTGTTGAAGAGATTGCCTTATGAAAGAAAATTCTGCAGGTTAGATCTATAACTTTAAGTGTGTTGATTTTATAGAATCATATGATGATGAGGAGGTTTGATGTGATTCATGCTAGGAGGGTGTTATCAAACAGGGGGGATTCCAGAGCTAGGTGGGCACAGTTTAAAAACAACAATAAGCTGGGAGGAATTACATCTCTGAGGGTCATTAGACTTTGAAATTCTCTTTGCAGAAGACAGTGATGACTGAATTAGAGAGATTTTTGATCTTTAAGGAACTTGAGGAACACGGTGATGGGAGAATATTTCAGACATTCTGAAGCTTTCTGTGGAACACAGCAGCATTGATTGTAATGTTATGGAAGAGCTCATGTCAAGCTTGGATTCACAATGTCTTGATGATGAGGCAAAGCAGCAGCAGAGGAGGAAAGGTCGCAAGTTCTGCACTTCCAGATCCCAGTACCTTGTGGGACATCTCACCCCATCCCTGAAGTTGAAGTTAAATTGCATTGGCATTGTAACATTCTGACAGGGTTTTGAACAATATTGACACAATGTAATTTGTGGAAAATGTAATTTTTCACATTTCTATTAACAATAAACAATGATAACTGCAGCAGATTTTTATTCAACAATTTCTAGTGTGGGTTCTAGATTTGCTGAGGAGTGGCAATGTCTGACAAATCATCACTCAGTTTTTACACCACAAAAGAGCTCTACATTTTTGACAGGAGATTGGAATGCTTTGATTCTGACAGATCCCTCACAGTGCAGAACTGTTGGGGGAAGTCAAACCACACCCCTTCTTTAAACAGTCAGCTGATATATTCTGTAATTTAAAGGTCTAGAATCAAATCAACTTACTTTGAAAACTGCTATCAAAAGGTAAGTGTAACGTGCCAAGTGAGTAGAGGGTAAGGTGCCAGGTAAGTAGGGTGTCAATTGGATATGCAGTATGGTGAATTTGGGTTGGGGGTGGCATTGCTTAATCTGGCGGGTATTTCAGGTCAGGCAGCCAGGTGAAAGAAAGTGGGTCAAGTTTGGAGCAGTCCAGGTCAGTCTGGTCTGGAGCCTTGGAAGGGGGGAAGGGGTCGAGCCTTCAGCAGGGGAAGGGGAAGGTTGCATCTGGAGTTAGGAAGGCTGTAGAATCGGACTTGGAGTGGGAGAAGAGGCAGTGGGTAGGTGTCAGGCCAGTCTGGGGGAGGGGAATTGTCAGGTCATAGGATGAGAGGAGGTTTCAGGTCAGGGGACAGGGTGCTGTATGGGATCTGGAGATATTTTTGGGTGTGTGTCAGGTAAATTGAGGTGTCAGTTTAATAGTTACTGAGCAGTTAGACAAAGTCTAACTTTTCCTGAGTAACTATTAATTAACTTCAACAAAACCCTCTGAATTCTCTGATTTAAATGGATGCTTTCAGAGGGTTCCATGTGTTGATGAATTGTCCAGTGGAATTTTCAATTTCTCAGATATTTCTTCAGAGTATGCTATGATAGGGTTCCTGCACGGTGCCACATGCCACCTCCCTTCTATGCTTCTGATTATCTGGCCTCTGAAAATTCAGATTTAGCTTTAATCAAAATAAATATTGTCTGCTAAAATAGTCAAAACTTTCCAATTAAAAGCAGATAAATTAGGAAATGGAGGTTTAACTTGAAATGCACTTGGTGTATATTATTACTTTATTAAGATATGAGAGATGTTACAAAGCATAATGTGAAAAGCGCAGTTGAACAGAATTTACGCAGGCAAAACTCAAGTAAAAAAAAATCTCCAAACAAAGCAAATCATTAACAGTTAATAGTTTTGATTGTGAATAAGTAAACTGGTTTTCATTGATGTAGCAGCTTACTAAAGAAATGCTGCTGCCAGAGACTAATTGTTAAACCTTTAATCTTTAATTTCAAAAAGACTGGTTGAATATCTATGAAATTGTCATAAACAGTGAGCAACACCAGTCAGTATGTGTACACATGGTTACTGTTAAAAATGCTTTGTATGTAGTCTTTTAGCATTTTCATATGGTAAAATATAAATATGTCCATCATTAAATATGATCCTGCTATCGGACAATACTTATTAAATAATCTGGACCAGTACAAAGAATTACACTGGAATCCAATTTATTTTGTTAGTCAAGCTTGCTGTATGATGAATTTGGTAGCGATAGAAGCTAAATATGTTAGAAAACCAAGGCTCTGTTTTATGTCAGCAAAAGAAATTTGACCATACGTTGCACTTTTATCATTGGAGACAAAACGAGACAGGCAGATTGCCAATCTCTGCTGCACTCTCATGGCAACATTCTGACCAATCAGGGTCCACCTGCCTGGTCTGAGAATGAAAATTGATTATTAACTATTCCTGTTGTATTTTCATGCTAACAATGGCCTAAACAATCAACATTCTTTTCTCATACTGTATAATTTGCGTCTCTTTTGTAGTCTGTTTCTTATGTCCTAGATCTGAGTGTAAGATGAAAGTCTGTGATTTGTTTCTTTTTAGCAATATTTAATATGATTATTCATACAAAGTTTTATCAGCATAATACCATTGTATATAATTTATTACTTTCCAGGGCACTTAGGTGATTAGAGTCTCGATAAAATGGGTATATTTCTTGTAAACTTTGCTCAAAATGTGAATGTCAACATCTTTAAAGTTTGTGGCATAGAACTGGTAAACTCTCTGAAGTAATTCTCAAAATAGCTCAGAATGTTCATGGTTTCTACACCACACAAGTGAAACCATTAGAAAATACAAACAAAGTTGTAGATGGTTCAGCGAAAAAAAAAACTGGCAGATAATGCATGCATTTTTAAAGTGTTTAGTGTAACTTAAATGTTAATATGAGCAGTATGGATAAAAATATTATTATATTTGTCAGTGATTATTTGAGTGCTGAGTCTTACAAGATGTCCTGTTAAACAGCTCTTTAAACTTTTACTTTCTGCAATAACAATTTTATACAGATTTCTTTATCAGGTACCATTTTTCCAGGAATATTGACTTTCACTTAATCAATTTGTCATCAGATCAAAAGCCTGATACTGACCACATATCTTGCAACAATCATTAGGGGTCCCTTTCAATGGGGCTAAAGGTATTGGACAAAGACCTTGGATTCTGCAGAAACAATTGAGAGAAAGTTATTATTTGCCTATCCAAATAATCATTGCATACAGATAACGAAAATGACAGTAGCGTAGAGACCAAAATCAAATCAAACAATTAAACAACAGATAATGTAATTGATACATTTTGTTAATCTAAAAAGATAAACTTGCATACACTGTGGTTTATATCTAATTCCAGGCAACAATGTCTACACTACCCTATTTAGAGCGAAACTGAAAAGAGAACCTTTTACAGTAAAATTCTTATCAACAATGACAGTGTCAGTGATTACAGCAAATCCAGGATCATTAACACAGAATAAGAGCAGGAAATAACATCATACTCTAATCATCAGAGACAGTAGGAACTACAGATGCTGGAGAATCTGAGATAACAAGGTGTAGAGCTGGATGAACACAGCAGGCCAAGCAGCATCAGAGGAGCAGGAAAGCTGATGTTTCGGGTCTAGACCCTTCTTCAGAA